TCATCATTATATAAAAATTCTCAATATTACCCTTTTTCCTTTTCTGAACATATTTTTTGATCTTTACCCTTTTTTATTGTACATGGTTGTCCCATATAGTACTTAAAAATTTATTATAAACTTATACATATATTGTATATTCCTCCCCTTTTTCCTGTCATAGTATACCCTTTCTTTTGTTTTAAAAAAATTTATATACTCTTTATTTCTTCTTGTACGTACTATTTTTTTTTCTTATTTTGTTTGAAATGAAAAAATGAATTATTATATATATTATATATATATTTAATTATATGAATGACATTTTATAAATAATTTATTAATTCATTCCATTTTTATTTTTCAAAGGAAGAGGACATTATTATTATAAACGAATGTTATTATGGTTGTTATTTTAATTACAGTATTTATTTTTTGATGATATATGAAAAGTTTGTTGTTATACATATCTAAAGAATTTATAAAAAATGCGTTGATGCAATATACAAATTAATTTTAATTCTTAATTTAATAGAGGGTTTCGATATCGCGGTGATATTGTTAATCCTGGTCAAACAAAAATTTAGTTAACCGTAGTAATTTATTTTGTTAATAAAGTTTCTATTATAGTTAGTAAGTGTACACAAATATCAAATAAAAAAAAATTTACGTATCAAACGCCAAAACCTTTTTTATATATAACAAGAAATCTTTTTGATTGTTATTTAAATAAAAAGAAATTTTCTTTTTTAATTATTTTTTATTATTATTTTGTCCCCCTCAAATAATAAAAAAAAAAGAAGAAAAAATCCCTTATTTTAACTTTTTTCTTTTATTTTTTCTTTTTCTTTTTCAGGAAAAAAATATATATATATATAAATAAATTTCTCAAAATTGTTTTGCGAATTAACCATCTCGTTGCCTCACATCCCTTTAATATTTTTTCTTTAAGCACCAACATAACACATGTTTAGAGCATGGATTTCTTTAGCTAACCAGACCCAATTAATATTCATCCTTCCGGTTAATTTTTGCTCGTATTGTAATAATTCATACATAAACTTCAGGTTAGGTTGAATAATAACATTAAGTCTTCTAGCTCTGACATATAAATATGATGATACCAACGATCTGCCAAGATGTTTCATAATATATGCAATCGTTATAGTAGCAGATCTAGATACTCCTACTCGGCAATGAATTAATATACTACCATTCGATCGTCGAGCATTTTCTATATATAATATATATATGAAAAGAAAGTTGTTAGTTGTTGACTATTTCTAATCACTACCGATTCTTTTCATCATTTACTCACTTACCGATGAAATTGACACAAGAATCCAAATGGTTCCATAAACTATCAATTCCATCATCATATAAATTGTCTAAATATTGTACTTCAAATTCCTTTCTATCCAATTTAGAATCTTCACCAACAGATAAGACATGGGTGATTCCAAGGGCCTTTAACATACCGTCATTACACGCATGATTTAAATTACCAAGGTACAAAAATGGAAGAATTCGGCTAGGAAAACTTCCTTCAAAAAATGGTGAAAAAAACCATGGAAATTTTTCAATATTTTCAATATCTTTTTTTTCATCTTGTAATGATGGTGGTGATGATGAAGGTGGTGATGATGATGTAGATTGTTGTGAGGAGGGTGATGGTGATAAAGAGGATTGTGGCGATGGTGATGACGGTGATGGTGGAGATGATGATGATGATGAAGATGAATGTTGCTGCTTCTCCAACATTTTCCTTTCAAATATGCGTTTCTCTATGGCTAATAATGTTGTCACATCATTTGGATATACAAAAAAACTTCTCGTCTTTTGTAATCTAAGATATGCTTGTGGTAATTTGAGATTTTCATTAAACATTAAATAAGTTAATGAAAGTAAAGAAGTTTCCGTATATCCATCTGCACAGTGAATTAATATTTTATGGTCAAATTTATTTGCTTGCGTTGAAATAAATTCACACAAATCTATCAACCTCGTCGCTATTGCATCAAACGCTGTTGTACTATTATTATTATTATTACATCCTACTCCCGATGATATACAATCAATATGAATAATTTCATCAATAGATGTTCGTTTACACGTTGATAAATTTGCAAGTTGTTCCGTAGCAAGTTTTAATGTGGTTTGATCTGCCATTTCCGCAAGGTCATGTGATTCTATACAAATACTAAATTGACGCGGATTATCATCTATTAATGAAATTGCTGAATCTGCTGGGTCCATGTTACTTGATACTGGAACATCTTGAGTATTCCCTAGCTAAAAATCCCGGAATCCAGAAAAAAAGTTTTGATGTTTTTTTTTTTTTTTTTAGAATATTATTTGTATTAGTTTAATTTCTTTTTTCTTTCAAAAAAAATAAAAATAAAAATAAATATATATACATATATGTATATAAATGGTCTTTTTTAAAACAAACAAAAAAATATATATATATATATATGTGTTTTATCAATGTATTATTTACCCAAACGTTATGTGAAATCTCAGATGCTGCAGTTAATAATCTCATTTCTTCTCTTTCTTTTTCCAAAAAATTAACCTTATTACGTGTGATGCCGTGTGAATCTAACGCAACAAGTTCCGGAAATTCTTTTTCAAAGAATGAAAATGGATCTAAATAAAGATTTTGATTTGAATGATCGATACCGATGTTGATCCGATAAAGATAAGGGATTCTATTTTTGTTTGATAAATACTCACCCAATATGACAAAAACTTCATAATCTATGCCATTTGTACTATTTTCCCGTAATGCTTGCTGAGCCCACGCGGCTTGTTTAGCAATCTCCAATACGGTGTCATTTAAGCCATTTTCACCATAAACGACAATATCTGATAAAGTAACATATTTAGATACTTGGATTTTAAAATTACGTAAATTTACATTAACTCCTTCCCCATCATTCACTTTTAAGAAACCTCTACGTCCATGACGAGAATCATCACCATCATTTGGAAGAGGATTAAAAATATCGGACGGGTAAACAGAACCAACTAGTAAGGATTTTGACGTTTCTTCGGCCTGTACTACCGTCACACCACGATGCAGAGGCATGAGACATTCTTGAATCCCAAAAAAATTGTTTTGAACCAGATTTGTTCCATCAACACCATGTAACCACGGAAATAAAGTGTCGTTAGGGAGTGCTGTACTGTGGTAGGCTTCATGAATAAGATAATATTGCGAGCCACTTAAAGCTCTGATTGGAGGATCTTCACAGACGATAGGAAACACGTCATATAAAGAAGGTGAAGGAGACCTCACTATTACAGGTGAAGACGACGACGGTGATAAAGGCGAAGAAGGGGGGGTGAAAGGAGACGTTGCTGGCTGTTGTTGCTGTTCTACTGCTGCCATTGTATTACCGTGAGTTTGAGTAAAATTTTTTCGTTTATTTATTTTCTCGAGATAAATAAATAATTTCGTACAAAAAATTATTTTTTTTTTCTCGTCAACAAAAGATATTAAAAAAGTGTCGAAAGTAGGAGATTGTTTTTTTTAAAAAAAAAAAAAAAATAAATAAATAAATAAAATAATATAAAAATAAAAAAAATTCTAAACTTTAAAGGGTGTGACCAAAAAAATATATAATCTGTCAAGGTGATAATAAAAATTTCGAGAGTAGGCAAGTTTGTTGAACACTGAGAGCGGCTAACTCGTGAGCATTCGATCGCCTAAATAGGTAATAGTAAACTTTCATTGCATTAAACAGCAGCCTCAATCTTTTCTATTATTGTCCTGGTACGGATCTTGTGATGAATTTTGTCCCTCTTAAATTATTTATTGACTAAATATTGATCTGACATATACAGCTTAGTAGAACCTTTTTTTTTTTTGGTCCCTTAACTTTTTTTTTTTTTAATTCGTTGATATGCACTTATGATGAACATAATTTCCTAAAGAGATAATAAACTTTATATTTTCGTGAAACAAACAAAATATTCATCTTCTAAAATAAATCTTTTACCAAAATACCATATATGATTATAAAAAAAGATTGAGTAATCATAAATTAGTTGTGATACCAATTATACAATTGGAGAAAGGTTTTTGGTTCAATGCGTTCGATCAATTGGGTCGTGATGAATCCAAAATGTGGGTATTTTTTTTTTTTGATTTGTGATTTAACCTTTTACTCTTACCTTTAAGCGGTTCTTCTAACTAAACTCGGAAACATACGTCATATTGTATAATCACTATCCCACAAACAATTGGTGAAACCAACATACGATCGGTGAGAATATTACGGAATATCAAATTTAGAACATAAATGATTCATTATCGATTTATGTTTTGATCTAAAAGAATTTTCCATCGGTACCTTCTAATTTTCATAAACCTTTAATTGCTTATCTGAGATTTGGAACTTGATCCCGATTCTGGAATCAATGATGTTCAATTCTTGTTCTTATCAATAAATTGCTATCTATGAGATTTGTCAACCGCGGAAAACTTTTAAAATTTGGCAAGGCTGAAATTTTTTTTTGAATATCTCGACTAAAACGAAGTCCTTTATTAACAAATTAACCCGAGGATCTGTCACATGACTTTCAGATTACGTAATAGAAAATTATTCCAGTAAAAAAAAAAAAATTTTTTTTTTTGTAACATGTTGAATAAGGTTTTACATAATGTTCTAATGTAAGGGATACCTGACGTTTGTTTGTCAATCGTGTGATTTATCAGGGGAAGTATTACAATCGTGTAATTTTATTTGGCGTTAATAAGATTTAGGGTTTCACATTTTACACCACTTAACTGCTATTGGTGTGAACACCTTTTTGTTTTCTCTTACTCCCTACATGATTTACTTCTACCATATAAACTGTTTACCATGATATTGGTTACCAAAATGGAAAACTTGGAACATAATTTAAATATTCCTGTTTTTAAAATTATTTTTTTAGTTAATTAAATTTACTAGATTAAAGCCTTTTATTAAATTTTTAATATTAATCATTAAATAATAAAAGTACGTATGTGATTAGATATCAGTACCATAATATCGATCTACAAAATAAATCAATTATAAGTAGTCGTTTAAATAACAAAGAATGAAGTGAATTTTCTCCCGAATAATTGCTTACCACCAAAATTACCCATTCCGGGTTCAATAAATAACGTTTCGTCATTAATCTTTGGATCGATCATTGACGTACATACTTTAACTTTTGGAAACGCATTAGATATTACGTGAAGTCCTATCGAATAATTTGGATTTAATTTAAGATATATATGTATATTTTTTAACCAAAATAATTTACCTAATGGAGTTGCAAGGAAAGTCAAGAACATTATCCTATCCTCAGGTACATTATGATCCAATAATACCCTTATGGCCATAAGTGCAGCTGCTCCTGTTGCTATCTGTGCATCCTAATTCAATTCAAGACGATTCGAACCTATTGAATCCATTGAAGATTAACAGATCAAAAAGTACTTTTGCATCACTTACCATGAGCAATACATAACATTCATGAACATTGTTAGGAAGGTTAATAAAATGTAACTATAAACGTAAGAAGATTCTTAATTATAATACTTATTATAATGATAACATGTCATGAATTATTATTTTTTTTTTTTTACCGATGGTTCTCCAGTTTTAGGACGAGATTGGATCAAGATTTTTCCAATCAAAGCGTCCTTAACAACTCTTCTTAACCCAGTTTCCATTGTACCTCCCGCGCGTAGAATAGATACTCCACAAATCTAAAAGACAAAAGGATAAGATAAAATAAAATAAAATAAAGTACCCACAACATCTGTAATATTTCATTGATCTACCTGCATCGTATACCTTTTTCCGACGTAAGGCATATGAAGTGGCGTGATGATTTCATGCTTTGTAAATAATAATTCTGACAACGCCCTAAGAGGAAATGATATAAAGATGTGTAAAATCAAATGATTTTATCAATTACATAGTATTATAATAATTTACCTTTCTACAATCGTAGCAGCTAATCGTTCAGTGTAAAATATGAAATCATCACGTTTTGTGTTTCTATCTCTTATAATAGTATGGATCCCCTAAGAAAACAAGATTTATTTTATTTTATTATTTTTTTTTTAAAAAAAAAATAAAAAAAAAAAAAGCAATTAAATAAGATTAAATATTATAACGGAATCTACTTTAAGCTGAGTGGTTTGTTCCAAAACAGTAACTTTCTTCGGTATTTCTTTATCATCACAATCGAACTTTAAAAGATCCCATCGAAAATTGAATTGACGTTCATTCAATTGACGTTGTATATGTTTGGTGATTAAATCGATGGCAACTAAATTATCAAGACCACGTGGAATTATCTGTAAAAATAGAATGATCAAAATACGAGATATATATGATACGATAGTGACGTTATAATCCTATGCATACCACGTCCGCATTCTTGACGGTAGGTTGTATGTATTGATCAAAAGAGGGCTTTACGAACTTTTGATATTGCTGACATCAAATGATATTTTAGATGACGAAATCAAACACTTTCAATTGATAACTAAATTGTATAATTAAACGAATATGTACCTGTATTACACCATTAAAATCACGTCCTCGTTCATTAATATCTCGTTTTACTAAAATTGACATTTTTCCGAGTTTTAAAATTTTTCATTCCTAAAATCACAACTTAATGATTTAGGTCATGACTTACATCGACGAATAAGCCGAATATCTGAATCCGTGTCAACGAATATCTAAAAATAAAATAAATAAAATAATTGAATCTTGAATATTGATATTATGCCAAAATTTTCAAAATTTAAAGGAATAAGATTTTTCAAAAGCCAATTGATTTTTAATTTATGCGGAGGTGAAATGAATGACAAGTAACAATTAATTAGACTACCTCTTCCCATTCCCTCATAACTCCTTATTAAATCTGACCCCTCAAAATAAAAGTTTGTAATCGTGAAATATTCTAATTAGTTAATAAAATTCATACTTTAAGGTCCATCAGATCTAAAATTCTTCGATCATATAGTGCAAAAATTCCTTCAAAGATGATAACATTAGCACCATATAACGAGCTTGTTTGTGGAAGTCTATAAAAAGATAACATTAATGTTAATAAAAGATCTTGGATAAAATGTAGGAACCATGAATAAAATACCTAGCATGCGTCACAAAATCATAAATTGGGATTTCGACTTTCTTTCTAAAATTTTTAGAGTTATTGCATGTAAATGATTAAACATCAATTATAATGAAACCTCACTACTTACCCCTCTTTCATATTCTTCAATGTATCAAACAATAAATCAAAATCAAAAGCATTCGGATGATCGAAATTGAAGTTACTAATAATTGAACAAAAATTCCGTTAATACGTTCAATATAGAAAATTAAATTCAAAACAAAACAAAACTTACTTATTATGTGCTTCGATTTTATCTATGGGGTTTAACACTTTATAGAACGAATCCATACTTAAAAGTCCTACCCATGGTACGTTAAGATTTTCTATGATACGTCTACATATGAAGATTAATTTAAATGAGAGGATAAAGAATAATTTTTAAATTGATGCCGAAACTTACACCGAGACACTAGTTTTTCCACTTGCACTACCACCTAATGAATTGTAAGTCGATATTATTCGAATTAAGACATATTTTGATCAATTAAAATCAATTAAATTATTCAATTAAATTTCCTGCAACTCCGATAAGATAACAATCGAATTTCGACCCATCCAATCTTATTCATAGATAATATTTGAATTAGTAATCACAATTATCAACTCCTTTACATAAACTTAAGTGTCACGTTAGCCTTACCTATACCAAGGCCTAATGTGACAAATTATAAAAAAAAATTAAAAAAATTCATATACAAGAATAAGCCTCCGGAATTAATTTTAATAAGTAAAATTTTGATAATTACGATCTTCCTTCGCCTCGCAAAAATGAAATCGGTTTTGTCATTTCAATTTTACTGTCAATCTGATAATCAATTTTCTGCACTGCATAATGCACATTAATATTTTTCCGTTGGTGCCACAAATATCATGTGTAACTTATTAATTCAATTATTCAGCAATAAACTCTCGAAAGTTTATTCAACTTATTCCGGACAAAAAAAAAAATATTTCTTTTATAGGGAATTACTTTCTTTTTCAATGGATAAACCATAAATCGATAATCAATTTAAAATAATTTAACCATAATAATTACTAATCATTTTTTTTTAGAACATTCTAGGACATCAGATAATATAAATATCAAAGGAAAAAAAAAAAATTAATAATAATAAATTATAATGGGATTATTATCATTTGGAACACCGTTGACATGGGAGGAAGCGAAAGTTTACGCGGATCATGTTCGTTTTCATGGTATAAAGCATTTTTCATCTATTTATCATAAACTGGAAAATAAACAAAAGGATTGTTTATTATGGGGTGATGAGGTAAACATTTAACATGCACATTTCTTTCTGTATCTAAATATATTTATCTTGCCTAATACAATTTGATTGATTTGATTCGATAGGTTGAATATATGGTAGTTACATTCGATGACGAAAATAAGAATGCAAAGTTATCCTTAAGAGTATTTGAAATTTTAAATGAATTACAAAAAGAGGAAGAAGCAGCAATGCAAAACCGGTAAAATAAAAATAAAAGTTTTTTTTTATATACTGTATATTAAGGTTATGACGATTTCCTATTTATGATCCTATTATATATTTAAATCCTGCTAGTGAATTGATTGGAACTTCATGGAAACCAGAATTTGGAAGATACATGCTTGAGGGTACACCCGGATTTCCCTATGGAGGAACATTAAAGGACATACTCCAAGTTGAGCCAAACATGAAGTTTCGTAGACAACTTGCCGCCAAATATATGAAACCAAATGAAGTTCCGATTACTATAGCAAGCTTTCCGAGACTTGGCTGTCAAGGTCAATTCCTGGAACCTCATTATGAACCAAGGGGTGAAGCTTCAAGAAGCTTGTTTGTACCTGATGAAGTAATTAATCCACATGCTAGGTTCCCGTAAGTTGTAAATCCTTTATCTATTATCATCGCATCATAATTTAAAATTTCAATTAATTAATTTTGTTAATAAATTAGAACATTAGCTGCTAATATCCGAAAACGTAGAGGATCAAAAGTTGCAATTAATATGCCAATTTTTCATGATATAAAAACTCCAAAACCTTTCATCGATCCGACAATCCCGAAAGATCGTAATTTATTTCCTGAAGACAAAGAAGCCGCCGAAGGTGCAGCGTTGCCTGATCATATTTATATGGACGCGATGGTTTTTGGAATGGGTTGTTGTTGTCTTCAGATTACTTTTCAAGCTTGTAATATTGAAGAAGCGAGAAGACTTTATGATCAGTTGGCGAATATGGGTCCTATAATGGTAAAATAAAATCCCCATTGATCAATGTTACACTAAAATTTCGATAATAATTTATCTTAGTTTTTTGTAGTTAGCTTTAACAGCTGCTGCCCCGATTTATAGAGGGTATCTTGCAGATGTGGATTGTAGATGGAATGTCATAGCAGGAAGTGTGGATGATCGTACTAAAGAAGAACGCGGTCTAGAGGTTTTTTAATCTTTTGTAATTCTTTTAAGAAAAAATATAAACTTCAAAAAATTATGTACATTAGGTATTTCCTTTGAATTATATTATGTATCATACTCTTTCTTTTTTCTTTTTAGCCTCTTAAAAACGATCGTTTCGTAATTAATAAATCTCGTTATGATTCGATCGATTGTTATATTTCTACGGATAAGACATTAAAACCCGAATACAATGATTTGGATTTAGTGTACGATAAAGATATTTGTAAAAGATTGATGGATGATGGTTAGTTTTATTATTATTTTTTAATTATTTTTTTCCGGCTTTATAAAATATTTATTTAGTGTATTCATCATGTTTTGTTGTTAGGAATTGATGAACTTTTAGCTCGTCATGTTGCCCATTTGTTTATCAGAGACCCTTTAGTTATTTTTAAAGAATTGGTGGATCAAAATGATGATTCTGATCATTTTGAGGTATTTTTGTCTTTTCTTCGCTTCGTTTGATTTTTTACTTCTATTTTCCCATCCATCCAAAATTTTTTTTATTCATATAATTATTTCTTTAAAATTTATCTAGAACATTCAATCAACAAATTGGCAAACGATGAGATTTAAACCACCACCGCCTAATTCCAACATAGGTTGGAGGGTAGAATTTCGCAGTATGGAAATTCAAATCACAGATTTCGAGAATGCCGCATTTGCAGTTTTTATTGTATTGTTAACTAGAGTAATTTTAAGTTATGGGTTAAACTTTTATATACCCATTTCAAAGGTACTTTACAACATTTATTTTTATCATAATTTATTTTTTTTACTATGGTATAACAGAATATCATTTTTTTTAGGTTGATGAGAATATGATGATAGCCCATAAAAGGGATGCAGTATTAAATGAAAAATTTTGGTTTAGGAAAAATTTGTTTGAGAATGAGGGCAATAATGGTATTAATGGGGAGTCTTTGAATACAGGTTTGTAAATTTTGGGATACGAATTTTATTGAATCAATATTAATTACATAATTCATTGATACCAGATGGATCATGTGAGGAACATCACACGAATACGCAACCACCGAATGGGGATACATCAACTTCCATCGAAGATGAATATGAACAAATGAGTATCAACGAGATTATTAATGGAAATGTATGTAAAAAAAAAAATTTTTTTTAATATGATACCGTTAATTCTAAATTTACAGCTCAAGAATTTTTTCTTTAAAAAAAAATTTACCATAATAGGGCGATAAATTTCCAGGATTGATTACTTTAATATTTCGTTATCTTGATTCAGTTAACATTGATATTGAATCAAGATGTAAGTTGGGAAAATATTTGGAATTTGTTAGTAAAAAAGCAGGAGGTAATATCAAAAATTATTTTTCTGCTATTTAATATTAATATTTTCTATTTAGTAAATGTGATATTGAATGATTTAACTTGATACTACTATTAGGAAAATTACAAACCACGGCAAGGTGGATTCGTGAATTTGTTAGATCCCATCCCAAATATCAACAAGATTCTGTTGTTACACAAGAAATCAATTATGATTTAATGAAAATGATTGATAAGGTTCAAAAAGGTGAAGAAAATGCTCCTGAATTATTGGGAGGTTTCGGAATTAATTCATAATGTAATTTGTTTTCTTGTCGTATAATGTTGGCAATAAATAAATGATAGCGCTTTATATTTATGATTATTTTGTTCTCTGTTATTAGTCTGCGTAATAAAATTGTTTCTAAGGTGGATAATAATGTATATATCATTTTGATTAAATTTGTCAAATATAAAGTTTTAATAATTCTTATAGATTTTCTCCTTGACTCTCTTTCTGAATTCTACTAATGTAAGATTTAGATACAATGTTCCATGCATCCATATAACGATCCATACATTTGGCAAGACAGGTCTAAATCAAATAAGCAGATCAGTAAATAATCAAACGTAATCGGTTAATACGTGTCTTTTCATTACCTGTTCACTTTTGTCTAGTAAGTATCCTGGTTTCGTTACACATTTAGAGAAACATTTTTCATTGATTTTCTATATTGTAAAGGTACAATATTTTTGGTGAGTCGCGCGAAAAAAAAAAAAAAATGAATCACAAATGTTTTCGCGTACGTTAATAAGCTCTTGTGCGTTAGCTAATGCTAATTCGTTTCTCACTTGGTCCATGACGGCCTGTTTCTTATTACTCCTGTTTATATTAAAATTTCAAAGAAAGGTTAAAATAGATGCAAAAGATTTAGAAATTGTAATCCAACCACATACATGGTAGAGGTTGAGCTATAATCATTAGAGAAATTCATTCTTGTTTAAGTAATAAGTTAAAGAAAAACGAAATGGAATTCAAAAAAAAAAAATTTCTCAGATAATCTATACCAATTTGTGACGTAATACTCTGCATCTTGAAATCAAATATAAAAAGGCACTAACTTTTTAGATTCGGATTTTTCTTTAATAAAACAAAATGTCTGCTTCAACTTCAACAAGTGCTTCTGCTACGACCCAACCTCAACCTCAACCTCAACCTCAACCCCAGCCTCAAAAACAACCTACTGTGTTATTATGTATTGGCATGGCAGGTTCAGGCAAAACCACTTTTATGCAGGTAAATACCTTTTGTAAAAAGACAAACAATTCCTTTATGTATGGCATTCGAAAACTTACTTTACTCTTTTGTAGCGAATAAATGCTCACCTTCATAGTATAAAAAAACCTCCATATGTTATAAATCTTGACCCTGCAGTCACTCAACTTCCTTTCACAGCAAATATTGATATCCGGGATACTATTAATTATAAAGAAGTAATGAAACAGTAAACTATCATATTTCGATCTATCTGATGTTGACTGATTTCTATCAATAAGACTTTTTCAAATTAATATTTTAAATTATAGATATAATTTAGGTCCAAATGGTGGTATTCTCACTAGTTTAAACTTATTTACGACAAAATTTGATCAAGTGCTTGATTTTGTCTCGAAGCGTGCACCTACATTAGAGTAATAATCAAAATTTTTTTTTTTATTACATAATTTATTTAATCATGCTCTTAACACAAGGGTCTTTAATTATACAGTTATATTATCTTGGATACGCCTGGTCAAATCGAGATATTTACATGGTCAGCATCAGGAGCAATCATTACAGACGCGTTAGCAGCGACGTATCCTTGTGCAGTTGCTTATATTATAGATACACCAAGAACAACAAGTCCGTCAACATTTATGAGTAATATGTTGTATGCTTGCAGGTGAAGTAAATTTTCTTTGAAATTGTTTATATAATATTATATTGTGTCTTTTTTTTTTTGTTAAAAGTTATTCCGATATTGATAGGAAGAATATAAAATTGATATTGGTTTAGTATCTTATATAAAACCAAATTACCATTTATATTGGTTTTTAATAAGACTGATGTTGTTTCTCACGAATTTGCTGTTGAATGGATGACGGATTTTGAATGTTTTCAACAAGCTTTGCAAAACGATACGAGTTATATGAGCAGTCTTATGAATTCTATGTGTCTAGTATTGGAAGAATTTTATCAACATTTAAAGGTATTTCTTATAATGATATTTTTTTTTTTTTTTTTAAAAGAAAAAAAAGTTTATTATTTTATTACGCGAAAAAGGTGGTTGGAGTTTCGGCCATTACCGGCGCTGGAATGGACGAATTTTTTGAAGCCGTTGATGAAGCTTCCAAGGAATACGAAACGTAAGTTATAATTTTCGTTCTTGATTTTTAAAGAAATTAAAAATTTTAAAGTTGACACAAATTTCTTTACAGCGTATACAAACCCGAATTAGAAAAATTGATTCGAGAGAAGGTATATGTATACACATTTATTAGATCTTAAACAAGTCGCAAATAATTAATATAGTTGGAAATATGTAAGGCTGAACGACAAGAAGCCGCAAAACAGGCACAAATTACAAAATTAATGAGAGACATGGACATGTCTGATGCTCCTAAAACAGGTAACGATGAAAACTTATTATTATTAAAATTTTTATTATATCTTCGCTTTTTTACTCATGTATAAAACTTAATTTGTTGAAGATCAAATGATTGAAGAGGAAGAAGAAGCGGAGGAAGATGAATATGATGGAGAACATGGTTATGACGAAGGTAATAAATTACAAACCATTTAACTCATATATAGCTATAATGAGAATTTTCCTGATACATTTTATTTAAATAAATTAGATGCCGACTATGAAGCTATGAGAAAACATCAAGAACAACTCGATGATCAAAGCTTTGGTCGATGGTTGAAACAAGCACGAGAAGGTGGTGGTGGGGGTGTTGAATAACTTGTAATCATACGGTTTTAACTTCAATTGTAGGTTTAGTTAATGGATCTGTTTAAATATATATTTTTTTTATCTCCACCTACATTGTGCGGGCAGATGTCAAAATGTGTCAAATTTTTGTTTTCACGTAAAAACACGATCGTCAAATGAATTGACGCTAATAAAATCACATGATTTAACAGATCTACAATATCTACATTCATTATCTGATCCGAAATTTTTTTTTTTTCCACTTGTCGAATATGACGCGACAAAATTTTATTGGAATGGTTATAAGCACAGCAATGCAAAAAACTGTTAAAGTTAGAGTACAAAGACACTTTATGCATCCCAAAATACAAAAAGTTGGTGCCTTTTCGAAATCAATATCATTTCTTTAAATATTTGATAAAATTGATAAAATTTTTTTTAATAGAATATAACAAGACACAAGAATTTCTTGGCACATGATGAAAATGAACTTTGTTCGTTAGGAGATATAGTAAGAATCGAAGCTTGTAGACCATTAAGTAAAATGAAAAGTTTTATAGTTGCTGAAATAATGAGGTTAATTATTACAATAATTAATTAATGTGATAAAAGTAAAAATTTACTAATTTGACGATTTCGTAATATTTAATATAGTCCTGCAAAGACTTGGGTTGACCCCGAAACTAAGGAAGTTAAACGATAACTTTATCTCGATCTCCCTCTTTTTAAATTAAGATCATTTTTTTTATTGTAATATTAAGCATACAAATTCAAATATGAAAAATATATTTGGTTCATTTAATAGTGAAATTATCATTTTCAATGGGCGGCGGCTTCGTCATATCTGTTGTAACGTAATAGTTGCCATTGAATAAATTCCAGTTGAGAACAATTTTTAAATAGTTGATTTGTATCTTCTTGTAATAAAAGTTCAATAGGGAAGGAAGAAAATCTAATTGAAAAATAACGAATGTTTTTCGATTTCGGGATTATTTCCAATACCTCCTGAGAATATAATAAATATATATATAAATATAAAAAAAAACGGATGTGATCAAAAATTTAAGGAAAAAAAAAAAAACCTACTAATTTTGAAAGTCCTTGAACACCAAATAATTCTAATTTAGTCAATGGATCTATACCTTTGCAAATGATTTCAAGAATAAGCTTATTTAACGGAATGTCTATCAACGTTAATTCCTTTAATTCATGACGTGATTTCTTTTCATCATCATCATCATCATCATCCTCCTTGAAATAATCGATAATTTTACCAAGTTCCACATTACATAATTGAACATTTATTGATCGTTCATCTGCTACAATTTTGGATTCCAAGTACCTATCAACACATTGTATGGATAATACTTTAAAATTTCTAAAATGTTTAAAAGTTTCAATAGCGAAATCGGTCGTAATATCTGATACATTTGCCACGGTAACGTTGGTTAACTTTGGGCATGATTTATAAATACTCAATAGGAAGGATTCTGATATGCTGATGCATCGATGAATGTTTAAAGATGTTAAATTAGGACAATTTGATAAACATGGTAATAAGATTTCATCCTCATAATATTTCTCCACGAGATCTAACCTCGTTAACCTTTTACAATTCTTTGTGATATCAAGTAAAACTTTTGAATCACAAGCTATATCTTTCTTTAAATTTAATTCTTCCAACATTAAACAATAATTTGCTATCGCTCCCAAAGCTTTGACATCATTTATCTCGATTTCATTAAATTTAAATAATCTTAATTCCGGTAACCTCTTTGATATATCATAAAATTGAACTTCATTTAACTTGCAGTTCCCCAATGAAAATTGTTCAATCCTAGGGCAACAATCCAAGGTTTCTAATAATTTGTCGTGTTGAATATTTAACTTTTCTAAATCCAACACTTTAACGTATCTACCATATTGATGAATACTTTTCTTATCCGCATTCTCTATTGGATCATTGTAATATAAATTTGATTGTTGTAAAATCTTCAAAAATTTCATGAATGATTTCGTTTTATGATCATTTTTCAATCCTTGAAATCTATACCATAACCTTTCTGTTGCTAATTTATTCCACCATCGATTTACCAAACAAAATGGAAGGATATCTCTTTGTAATGCTACATGAGAAAATATGTTTTCTAAGATTAATGAAATTGAAAATGCTTGATGAGATATTAACATTGAATTTGCTTTTGGGATTAAATTCATACTAATCGTGTACAAATTGGAAAAGAAAAGAAAAAAAATGGATGAATGTGAAGGAAAAAAAGAAAATTTTTGATAAAAAAAAACGAATCATACAATGTATTTATGTATTTTTTTTTTTATTTTTTCGGAGTTTTTTTAACTTGAAATTATCGAGATTACCAATAATGGTAAGATCTAATGCGTTGAATAATTCAATAGGATTTTTCCATAGAGAACGGAAAAATTAAGCATTATGATATGGTATTATTAATCATATCCGATGGGCTATCATTTAGGCCGAATCCGAGAATGCACGTGATTAATTATCTAACACTCATCTTTTTATTATTTTAATAATTAACGATTTATTTTTTTTTATTTATTTAATAAAGAAAAAAATATAATATCGGTACAAGTTTTTTTAAAGAAAAAATAAAAAAGCTCGAAAGAGAATAATTAATAAGAAAATATTGATTCATCTACTTGAGTTTCTTCTTTGGACGTAATTGATTAGTATGACCACACTAAATAAATAATAAAAAGAATTTGAATTAATTTCGAATATACCGTGTAAGTATTTTAACTCGCTTTAAAGGGAGATACCTTTTTCTTACGGCAGTTGGTAGCACGTGGAGGTAATCTCGCATAACATTTACGACAAATCATTTTTTCGCAATTATACTTTGAAGCCAAAGCTTTCAACGAAGGTTCAATAATCCCACCACGTAAACGTAATACTAGATGAAGTGTTGATTCCTTTTGAATATTGTAATCTGCTAATGTACGATTATCCTCGAGCTATTTCATTAAAAAAAAAAAAAAAAAAAAAAAAAAAAAAATTAAAAAAAAAAACAAAATGAAGATTGGTTAAAAAGAAACAATGATTATAAAAAATTGACTCGTCTCTTTAATGACCTGTTTTCCGGCAAAAATCAAACGTTGCTGATCCGGAGGGATACCTTCTTTATCCTGAATCTTTTGCTTAACATTAGCAATATTATCCGTACTATACAATCAACAATCAAAAATTAATTAATTCATTAATTATAATGATTGATTTTTTAAAAATTTAGATTTATTCTTTATACCCTTCAACCTCAAGGGTGATGGTTTTTCCAGTAAGAGTTTTAACAAAGATCTGCATTTTCGGCTAGTAAAAAAAAAAAAAATGATTTGATCAGTGAAAGATTATTTGGTTGTAGAAAGATCTTTCATAACACGCTTTGGTTATTTTAGCTTCACAAAACTTGCTATCTTTTAAAACTTAAGAGCATTTTTTCCCCTCTACATAATAATCAGGAACTTTGTAATACCTTTGCTAGTTATGTTCAAAACGAAAACGAAATAAAGTCGAATGATCAGGGAAAAAAAAAAATTTTTTAATTACACTTGGAGTTCGTGTAACATTTATATTAAACACGTGTAATCATGTGATAATGTGAATACCAACCTATAATTTTTTTATTATTTTTTATTAAAATTTACGTGTCTATGATCTTTTTTAATGTTCAACTCTATTCATTTTATAAATTCATTAAAATTGAACATTTAATTCATCGTTAATTTGCGTTTTCAACATATATACATACATATATATTAGTTGGGAAAGTACCATTTTTTTTTATATATATTGGAAAAATTAATTTTTAACCAAAAAAAAAATAGGGAGGCAAAAAAAATAATAGATATATATTGATATTACAGTTTTAGAGACTATACACGAGTATGATGATGATGATGATGATGATTATGATGATGATGGTAGTGATGATGATGATTATTATTATAATTCGGAAGAAGAGGTCTTCTTTTCCCAAATTTTTTTGATAACCAACTTAAACCATTACCATCTCTCATTCTCTCCAACTCATTAATAGCTCTATCAACGCCTATAACATTTGACCTTTGTTGAATCTCTTTTATGAGTTTTTTACGTAAAAGCAAAGTCTCCTTATTCTCGTTTGCCCATTTTGTTCCATAAGTTTCTAGTAAAGCAATTATCGATGGATTTCCACTCAAACCCACATTCCATTCATTCCACACATCATAAACAGTACCTAAAGTGTCTAATTCAGGTAAGTAATAATAATTTGGTCTAGAAATAATGCTCGAGTGTATGATTGGAGAATTGCTCATTGGAGAATGACTCGATCGATTCATTAAGCAACTCGTGTCCGATCCAACAGTGTTAGAATCAACAAAAGAGGAATCCAGAACTGGACTTGAACTTGTGCCAACTGAATTAATGGTTGATGTGCTTGGGGATCTCACCATATTAATAGCATTAGTGGTATTGCTAATGTTACTACTATTTAGGTGATCACTAATGCCTAAATTAGATGTACCACTGCTAATTCGTGGATCTATTAAAGGCTCACCATAATCTGCCAAATGCTCTTGTTGAATTCTACCGTCGATGGGTTCGTTAACTGTATGAACCGTATTAACTGAATTAACTGTATTATACGTATTTACTGTGTCAACTGTATTAATGATATCAACCGTGTTAACCGTATTTACCGTATCAGCCGTATCAGTTGTGTTAGCCGTATCAGCCGTATTAGCCGTATTGGCTGTATGAACAACGATCTCAGTATCAGTTGGATCGTTATTATTGTTAATAACGCCATCAGCATCAATTGGTGGACATCTATCTACATGAGGAGATAATTCCCTTGTTTCCACCATCAATGTTGTAGGATCAGAAGATATTGTATTACTGGAGACTGGAGAAATGTCAGTTGTAACCGTCGTTGTTGTGGTTGAATGATTGTTTGCATCCGTATGTGTGATTGTTGTCATTTTAATTGTAATAATTGTACTTGTGGTGGTCGTAGATGATCCTGGTTCGCAATTACCTGATAATACATTATTATTAGGTGGAGGTCGATCTTGTTGCATGGATGGGAATAGTACTTCTGGGAGTGCAAATTGTGGTTCTTGTATGCTACTATTTCTGGTGGGAATAGAATCTAAATCTATAATTCCCCTTCGAGTTGGAGGTCTACCTCGAGGTCTAGTTGCTGGAAGCTTGTTATGCCGTAATTCGTTATATGTTTTATTACGAGTTATCTTTCCCATACTCATTCTTTTGCCTAAAGAATATTTATATATCAAAATCTATTTATTTTATTAATGAGTACGCGTAAAACTAATAAAAATTACCTTGGCAACTTGTCTAGGGCAAAATGTGTAAGTGAATCAACTATCAACCACAACAAAAAGAATGTAAGATATAAACTATAAATGTTTGAATACAACTTGGAAATAACTCCATTTCATATCTTACTTGTATCAACGTGGATAATAAACAAATTGGGTCCTATATAGCGGTTACACAACTGCGTAGTGGCTTATAATCCCTTCTTTTTTTTCATTTTTTGTAAATATGATTGGTCCAAAAATCATTTATTCAAAAAAAGATAACCCATGTAAAAAAATTTAACGTTTTTTGAGGACGAAATCAAATTTGTTTTATGAATTTAACAACATAAAGCAAGCTGTTATAAAATTTTAGTAAATATGTCACAATCACACATCAATCGTATTTAATTTAAAATAAAATTTACTTTCTGATGTTCATTATTTAATGACGTATGTCACTTTGTTCCGATATTTTTAAATATAACTAATTAAATATTATTATATTCATATTCAGGTTGAAAAGCTCCAAATTTTACCCGATGACCCGGGTACCCCGACCAAAAAAAACGGGATTGACCCCGACCTGACTTGATCTGAAATTTTTAAAATTTGACTTAAATAACCATCATTTTTCGAATAAAATATACTGCTTATTTGTTTGAGCATTTAATCTCGAATGGTGTATACCGAAAGAAAACATTCAACATGCACTTTACCCTACCCAACGTGTTGTCAAGCAGATTTGTCCTTATCCGAAGCATAACGCATAACTGGAATTGTCAGCATAAACGAAATTATTATACTGGAGGGTATCGTTGAAATACATTAACATTTCATTGATGGATATCACTGAAATAACGATATTGGCACTTTTATTTATTTGTTGCGAATATATGTGAAAAATACAAGTCCGGTAGGAAAACTATAATAAAAGGGATATCATTAAATAGAAATTTTATCAAACGAAGAAAACCTCAAGTAATCAGAATCTTTCTTGTTATTCATCATCTTGAATTTTACGGTTGTTACACTATTTTCAATGACAACGTTTGGAAATGATCGTTAACATTCAATATACAACTGACATTTTTATTTACTTTTTTTGTAAGTCAATATTACAGTTCTGGCGGAAAAAAATGACAATTACAAATTGGCAAATATCTCGCCCGGCTTTATTAAAAAAATCCAATATTTTAAAATTAAACCCCCCAAATATACATAATGAAAATATAAAAATCCTAAAAATTTATCGTGCGACCTTGGCTTTCTACTACCATTCCTACACGCCCTGGCATAGACCTTACAAGATTAATCATAAGTTTACATCAATTGCCTCCCATTCTTCCCTTATTAACCTCATAAAAATTTCCCGTGTAACTGATTTTTTTTCAATGACCATAATATTAACCTTCTTCTCAACATTTCTTTTCATTATTGCCCATAGATTCTCAATCAGATTAAGATCTGGAAAAGAAGACGGCCAATCGAAAACTCGAGAACAACGATCCTGAAGCAAAGCGATCGTAAGCTTGGCTCAATGCTTAGGATCGTTATCCTGTTGGAATGTCCACCTGTTTCGAAAGATCCGGGATGCTTGCTCAAACAAATTTTCGGTTATAATATTCTGGTAAAGCTCCCTATTCATGTTCTCTGTAAACATGTGAAATCTGACAATTCTCTTTACACAAAACGCACCCCACACATGGACTTTAAAGGGGTGTTTTACTATAACTTGTCTTGGCATTGTTTCTTCAACTTTATAACGAACTAGCGTCATATTACGAAACATCTGAAATGTCGACTCGTCAGAAAATACGACATTATTCTAACATTCTTCTTGATGAGCTTTCGCCCAAGTGACACGACAATTCATAGCATCCTGGGTAGAGTGTTCAGGATTATGCTGCGGCACAATATGCGCATAATATTGAATTTAACGCATAGCATTATGCTTTCATATAATTTAGGAAATTTCGCATAAATCACATAATCGCATAATCCGCAGTAATAATCTCAATTTTTATTGGTTATTAAGATCTTTAATTACTGATCTTTTATCAGATGCTAACTATTTTTAATAAATTCGATCAATCATGACGAAAAGTGCAACCCAACGTGCAAAAGAACCCGAATACAAAGATAACG